GGACAGGAATGAAACCTATGCAGCTATAGAGCATATCGACCAACATACAGTGTTATATAGACTTTATCAGATGACTGTCTCTCTATCTCTATCTCTCTATGTCTCTACCAGCTGTGGCTTTAGCGTCATGCTTAGAATAGCAATGTCTCTATAGTGTAACGTTACATTTAACTTCCCTTATGTGGAGGGTACATATCTTAACACTTGATATGAATTGGTCCGTCATGCGAGTGGTTGCTCTGCCTGCACTAAAGATAGCAAATTCCTTACACTGGAGGCTTTTTTACCTTTTATGTCCCTAGCCGTGCATTAAAAATAAAACAAACATGTCCCAGCATACAGCAGGGTCCTGACAATATGCTGCCCCGACAAACGAACATATAAACATAACAGCCAGGGGCAGCCCGACGTAAAGTAAACTCCTAGCATGTGGAGTCCAGACACTTGTCTCTCCTGTCAGTGTCTCTCTGTCCCATGTCAATGAAGTGTTTGGGCTGTTGGGTATGAATACAACCCAAATAAAGATCAAGATAAATGTGCCACACTATGAATACAAGGTGTCAAACATGCATTACTTCAGGTTCGGATATGAACAAAACATTTAGGTACATTTAGTATCACCTCCAATAAAATGTTCATTATCCAGAGTTTAAGAAATAGCAGGGCATGTAAAGTAGGAATAGCATGAATTTGAAGTTTTGGTGGAAAGCACGAATTGCAGCACCGTAAGCAGTTTGAAATACCAGTGCTGCAGTTTATGCTTTTCGAATAATTGATCTTCTTGACATGTTTTAGTTTAGAAAGTGTTTTTGATATTGGACTTTATATACAGCTTTGGCATTAGAGCCAAGAGAATACACTTAAATTGAACTGAGGAAATTGTACAGAGAGTAAGATGTAGCCCTGGTTGGGTCTTATCTGGTGGTTGAGGTAGAGGGGAGGAGGAGGGGGGAGGTGTGGGTGGAGGGAGAACGTGTGGGTGGGTGGGCTGGCTGGCTGCGGTGTGGATGCTCTGAAAGGACTCAGACACTGCCATGAGGCCAGTGGCTGTTTGTGCTGGCTGACACCTTCCTTACAGCAGTAATCCAGTCTTTCTCCAGCTGGCTAGCTACTACACCTCCCCCTTCCCTTTTCCCTTCCCTTTCATCCCTCCCTCCTAAAGGCAGCAAAAACACCCCTATCCCCCTCTTCATGCCTTCTTTTTCTTTTTCTCACAATGTGTCATTTTATTGATCCCAGCTCATCTCTCTCACCATGCTATTCTCTACCCCGCTCTGTTTCTGTGTTTTCCTGTCTAACGCTCTCTTTGCATGCAAGTAGAATAATCCAACAGAATAATTTCGAAATTAATCACCAGAATTAAAGCACCCAAAGACCACGAGAAGGTGTTTCCTTCTCTCCCTCTGCTTTTCCCTGTCTTTCTTCAGTGTAGATGGTAGTGAAACCTCACACCAGCCAGTGCTCATTGAGTAAAAAATTAATTTCCTGTGTGCTGTCCGCTGGAGAGCTGTTGCTCTGTCACTTAATTATTTAAAAAATGCACATCACGTGAAGTCAGCGATATGTAATTTACCACTGCTGGCGTCAGGGGCGCCCAATTGATTTATTATAGAGGCCCTTTAATGTGAACAGCTGTTTCCTGATAAAAATAGGTCAGGGGTCAGATAAAATGACCTTGTTCCTCTTTTTTGTGTCCTCACATTAAGATAGAAAGCTCAATGTGAGGTGGGAAATGTTAATGTTTTATCCAGATGGACAGTCTGTCTCTGTCTGTCACAGGCTGTTTGGTTTTGCTCAGTGCATAGGCCCAATGTTAGTTGTCATTACAAATTTTGTATGGTTTGACCAATGTCTCCAGCCTCTGAAATGATAGCTAAAAGGCTTTTCACTTGATTTGATATGTTACTGTATAAAAGAGTTTGCGTGAATGTGTTTTACTATCATTCTGTTGTGTGTCATGAAGATTTATTTACCCATAGTGTAAATGCTGTAACTGATTTTTACACTGTGGAGAAATCATGACAGGCATGAAAGTGATCAAATATAGAGATATTAATTTACTGCACAAAATATTTGCTAATCACCTAATATCAAACACTCTCCAAAAGTATTATCCCTTAAAGGCCTTTATTTGTCAAACCCTTTTCCACCTCTGTCTGACTCTCTATCTATATCCCTTATCATTTGAAGTCTAGCCGTTTGAAGACTTGCCGTGTGGCTCCTGTGTTCACTGTAGAAGTCGGAGGAAGGACTTAGGGAGTGGTTCAGGGGCCCTCAGCCGCGGCACTTCCCACCAGAGCAACCTCTGACCCCTGGTGCCATTAATCACTAGGCTCCTGATGGCCCTGTCCCTGGGGGAAAATCAGTCCGGGGCAAAGGATGATGGGAGGTGAAGCCTGCAGCCAATTACAGATTGGCTCAGAGCAGCCGAGTGGACAAATCAGGGTTTTACAAAGTGATGATACGCAATGGTTGCCTACTCGAGGCCTGCGTGGCTAAATGCCATGAAGTAGTCTCTTATCATTGCTGGTCATGATGTCTCTGGTATTCTCTACAGAAAAATAAGTTATAAGTAATGTGTGAGGCAGAGGAGGCGTGCTGCTGTGATCAAAAGAGATGTTTTGGACTGGTCTAATTAAGCCTGTTAGAGCTAAATGTCTCCAGGGTTGGAAACGGAGCAGATGTTGGACACCAAAGGCTCTCAAATTATGGAACTCTCCAGCTAACTGCCCAAGTGTTACTAATGTGATTTTTTTACGGTATTATCAAAGGTGCTTTTCCAGTGCTTTCATATGAGGTTGGGCCATGTTGAAATGTGAAACCTCGCTGATGTCAAGTGTTGACTAATTAATGCTGTTTTAGGTTTCAAATATAAAGCTAGTTTGTGGTTTACTCTTATACACACACACTCACCACACACACTCCTGTCTGAAATTTGTCTGTTTTTGGCTTGCTTTGTGTGGTTATGGGCTCTAAAAATGGTTCCTTGTAAATACATTAAATTTGATCTGATTTGACAGCAGATATTGAAGCAGGAGTGAATAAAAGCATAGGCGTGAATTAAAGCCAGACTAACTGCTGGCCTGTCACTATGGGGCCAGTGCTGTTGTGTCTCATTTGTTGTGCTCTCATTGTTCACGTTCAGGCCAGTATGAAAACATGGCTTCCTGCTGACCTGCAGTTTAATTCACACATCAATAACCCCTGGCTGATCTCTGACCCCTCTGGTTGTACTAATTGTTTGATGTAGGATTGATGTCCAGCGCTGCATTAAATAACTGACTAGGCGCTAGCAGCGAAGCTGTGTTCTGGAAATGTTGCTACTGCCCACAGATACAGTCGGAGGTCTGCCATCTACATTTAGTTTACTGTAGTTGGCCACCTCAGAATAAGTTTACTCTCTGTTCTGCTGAAATAGCTATCACTGGTAAAATCACTACTGTTAAAACTAAAAAACAATGTGCGTTTGGAAGGATTATGGCTAATTTCACTTATTGGATGGATTAAAATGGGAATACTGACCTGACATTTAACAGAGACATTAAATGCTTAATCAGACCTAAAACGTAGCTAATCCAAATGATCTGTAAAGAAAGCTGGCATCTTTGCAAAGGTTCTCCTATTTTGCCAATTGTTAATTGGTTCTGGAGATAAGATGACTGCTTCACCAGAACAGCATTACAGGTTGTACTGAATTGCATTAGATTTTAAAGGTGAACCTAATAAACTGGTTCCACTGTACATATTACACTCCTACATGTATTTCCGCTTTTTATATATTATCTGATTATAGTTGCCTACAATTACTTCCTGGTTTTTTCATTTGAATGTATATGGATCTCCCACCTTAGACAAACACAGGTCCCACCTTTCACCTTCTAGAAGTCTGCTATATTTCTAGACAGATATTTAACAGTGAATTTCATCAGTAGAGTAAGCTTTAGACATTACAACCAATATTAAGTAGTGCACCTTACAGGTCAGAGCCATAGTGCACTAACAGTGTTACCACACCTTCCTGATCTCCACACTAGGACACTAAGTCCATGTGTTCACCTAGGCCCCTTGCACATGGCTTAAAGACATGTTGCTAACTTAAGAAAATGAATCAGGGCTAATCTTCATGGTCTGATCACACTGCTGTTTTACAAAGTCGTTAATGAGTCTGATTCCAGGTTAAGAGCAGCCTGTGGAGGGGCTGAAGGATTGGCTGGCAGTTGCTGTGAGGGCAAATCTGTACAACTCCCCTACACTGGGCCCGGCAGCGCTAACAGTGGAGGGGTGTGGATTTACTCAGTGCAATCCTCTAAATGAGCTTCATTATACTGGCCTATCCAGGAACCCCCCACCCACCGCAGCCCATGGATTAGCAGGTCGTCACAATCCCCAGTCCCCTCCTCCCGCTCCATGCTTACACAGTTGCACATTGCACTTTTTGATTCTGTTGCATACTGCGAACCACCCCCATCTCCCTCCTCGTCCTCCCTCCGCCCCCTCAGCACTCGCTCCGTGAAAGCCTCACTGCAGATAAGCTGTTGACAAGATTAATGCATCTGTATCAAAAGTCTAGAGCCGCTTTGCTTTGTGTTGTTTGCGAATCCCCTTTTCCAGGTCAAGCCAGATTGCCTTAACTGGGCTAATTTGTTTTCAAGCCAAATTTAACAGACGTGCAGGCAACAGGCATGCCACCCTTGTCATCCTTACAGCACTTAGATCAGTGCCTGGTGGTCACAGAGGGATCAACATAAATTGTCTAAATTGACTGGTGGATGGATTAATGCATAATGTCATTTTCACTGTAGCAGCTTTGAATGTATTTTCTGTGTCAGGTGCCAATATGTCTCAGCAGGGAAGCACACAAAAGAAATTGTCAGCATTATGAGTCGCATTCCCGTTGGAATTGTACGTGTTAAAAATTGCATGCACATGTGACACACAAATGCACTCTGAAGTAAATTCAGATGTACACATTGACTTATATTATGTCTTCTCCTCCATAGGAACCCCAGTCAATCGCATCCCCATCATGGCCAAGCAGGTCCTGGATTTGTACATGTTATACAAGCTGGTGACAGAGAAGGGAGGCTTGGTGGAGGTTATCAACAAGAAGATCTGGAGAGAAATCACAAAGGGACTCAACCTGCCAACCTCCATCACCAGTGCAGCTTTCACCCTGCGCACACAGTAAGTCTGTGTCTGTGTCAGAAAAACATCCAGCGAAATTAATTTCATTGGTTGGAGTAGCTATAATTTCACTGTTTACACCCAGATACTCCGCCTGTCTAATGTTAATCTTATTTAATTTACGAAAAATTCATGAAGAATCTCAAGTGTGCGACTTCTAATCTGGAAACAAGCACCTTCCTTATGCCACAAATGTGTGTGTGTGTGTGTAGTGGTATGAGTGTGGATGTCAATATTAACCCGGGCCCATGTGTTTATTCACATCTAAGCCTGTTTCCTCCTCTAGACCACCTTCCCTCCTCACATTCAATCCCTTCGTCCATTACATCACACATAGAGCCCATTGATTCCTATAGATTTAATGACGGGATCTGGGTCAGAGTTCACAGTGACTAAGGTGGGGTTTGACTGACAGCCTGTACGCCGTTCCTCGACTAAAACTCTCTTGCTTTCTTGATGGAAATCCTTCAGTATATGTAACACCTGATGTAACACCTCTATCCTGTCCACTAGCAGGGTGCCCTAATGAACCTTTATGTATTTTTAATGTTGGTGGGCTCTTATGTAGCGTTGCTCCGCTAGCTCTGTCTAATGGATGCTGCTCTCAGCTTCTTATTGATCATGTGTGCTGCTGTTCCACCATTATGCAGTCAGCTTGCACAATACTGTATGTTTATTTTACCACATGCTCTCATGGGATGGGAAAAACCAGAGCTGTGACTGAGCCCCTTTTGATGTCATCAATGTTCATACCAGGTTTCTCATTAAATTCTGTGCGATTACATGTACTTAAGTAAAGTCGGTTTTCTAGTGTAATCTGACTTTGTAGATGTCATGTAAACAAGAGGCCCGGTTTCTATAATGAGGGAAGGGTATTTGAGAAACACAGTTAACACAGCTAGAGTTGTGCTGGAAAAAACCTGATTTATAATTTATTTTTCTGGCCATATGCCTGCGTGTAACCATGTGTCAAACACAGTTTTTACATCTGTGAATGTGCGCGAAGGATCTGATGTATTGCTTTGTGTGTGTTCTCCTCTTAAGGTATATGAAATACCTGTACCCGTATGAGTGCGAGAGGAAAGGCCTCAGCTCCCCGGGTGAGCTCCAGGCTGCCATCGACAGTAACCGGCGCGAGGGTCGTCGTCCGAGCTACAGCAGCAGCCTCTTCCGCTTCTCTCCATCTCCCAGCACAGCTCCCCACATCCTCTCACCTCCCAAGATGCACCTTTCAGTTCTGGGGGCAGGTACCTCAGGGGCCCTCAACGGCCTTCAGGCTTCACCAGGACCCTCTCTGAAGAAAGGTAGGAACCATAAGGTCAACAACTGGACATAGAGACTTCTTATGGCGTGAACAAAACTTCCTAGTCTGGTATTATAGTCAGGCAAACGAACACGAATGACATTTAAGTCTAAAGCAACCATTAATATGTTTTTACTTGAAGAGACCATAACCTCACTGAGTGTAACATATATTTTGAAAATAATCACAAAGCTTCATGACAGCATAAAGAGGTGGCTAATTTTTATCCCACAAATTTAAATGTTGAAAAAATATGGGTGTAGGGGGTTACCTTCTTAAAAAAAGCCTGCCTGCAAGTAAACAGGCAGCTCTCAGATATACATGTGTGTAACTACGAAGGGTGAAGAAGGGTGTTGCTGGGGAAAACAACAAGCATTTATACTCAGACACCCTTCTCTAGATTGATGTAGGTTATATTAAACTGGGTAAATGTTTACTTCAGACATTGTAGCCTCTCTTGACTGGTTGAACTGACATGTTCCGGTTGCAGATGTGTTGAGACTTCTTAGAGAAATATTCATAGGGAAATACTGCCCTCTGTTGCAATTTAGAAAAACTTCATATAGTCACAGCAGTGAATAACACACGAATGGAAAAGTACTTACAGATTTAAGTATTTGTCAGTATCAACAATGTTTACAATACATTTAAAAGACATGATGTATTTCTGACAGTAGAGTCACAGTAGAGTCACAGTGTTTTCATCAGAGCACCGGCTCCTTTTTCCTCAAATGTGCATGTGTGCATTTGTATTGGTATGAGTATGTGTTCGTGTTTGTTTTAGGGCTGCAACTAACGATTGTTTTCATTATCGATTAATCTGTTTTCTCAAATAATCGATTAGTTGTGAAAAATGTGCATAAGTGTTTCCCAGAGCCCAAATATATTCAGTTTACTGTCATGGAGACCAGAAAATATTCGCATTTGAGAAGCTGAAAACAGAGATTTTTGACGTTTTTTCTTTTTCAAAAAAGGACTCAAAGCTTTATTCAAAGATTTATTTAATAGTTGACAACTAATCAATTAATCAACTAATCGTTGCTGTAGTAAGGAACAGGTGACTTGTGTAACGCAGCGTATTTCACCTGACACTCTATGTGGTCATGTAGGATGGTACGTGATTTGACTGACCCAGTCACCTTAGGTGTGTAACTGCTTTGCATGCCCAAAGCCAGCTCTGTTTTGTTTTTATTTAAATCGGTCACTCTTAAAGTAGGGTGTAAAGTGTCCTTGAAGGAGTTTCAAAGGGGGCCATCAGCTTAATAAAGACGGGTTTAATTGAACTAGAAATAAGTAGAGACTATTTGATAAGTTGGGAAGTCTGTGCTGATGGTTTGTGTTGTCCATTAGAACCAAAATCACTTGGAGTCACTTATTTTGTTCAAAAAAGGAAAGGTGCGTAAATATGGCCTTAGTGTCTTAACACACATTTCTCTCAGGACATCTTTCATGATATGCAACTATATATGATATTCTAGAAATCTATTATGAAATTATGTTCAGACTGACATAAAAATATAATCTATCCATCCATAATACCCACTTATCCTATTCAGCATTGCAGAACCTGGACCATCCCAGCTCCCATCGGGCAAGAGGCTAGCACATGTATAACCATTCACATTCACCCTCTGTAGGTTCCTGATTAACGTGTCCATTTGAATTCACAAACCTAACCCTCCATTTCTCTGTCTTCCAGAAGACCTGACCCCCTCCATCATGGCGGCGAGACCCTCCATGGCGCTGGCCCTGGGTCAGCAGCAGGTTGCAGGTTTGGCAAGAGCCGCCACGTTGGAGCAGCTGAGAGAAAAGCTGGAGACCAGCGGTGGAGGAGATGGGCCAGAGAGGAAGATGGCCCGCCTGGCGGAAGAGCAGCAGCGCCTGATGCAGCAGGCTTTCCAACATAACCTGCTGGCCATGGCTTCCCAAATGCCCATGAACCTGCGCATCGGAGCCCCCACCATTACCACCAGAGGTCAGTGATGCCACTTGACGATATTCTGTTGAACCAACATTCAACTTCCCTTGTAGTTTGACACATCATTGTTTAAATTAACATTTTTCCACAGAGGTGAATGACCAAAGTGACCTCTAGTGGATATTAAATACTCAACAAAAATATGATCACATTGACAGTGACTCCGATCAACTGCAAAGAACTAATGTCAAAGTTAAATCTAAATTCCACAGTTCTTATTATGTTTAGATAAAAATTACAAATATAAAATCATTGCATAAATGTTCAGCCCTTTAACATAAGTAGTCATGTTAGTTTAAAATGGGAAGCAATTTGGAGGCAGAGCATTTGTAAGCATTTGTAATTGCACATGTAAGTGTATTACTGTTGGGATTTTGAAGGAAAATATGTTACGTGAGTACACCAAACAAAATCCTCAATGCACTGTTATTCCTGTTTCTTCAGATGAGAAGCAGCAGGACATGTCTCTGAGCATCTCAACCAATGGAAATGCCAGCATCACTGTCTCAGTGGAGGTCAATGGCACAATCTACTCAGGTTTGTGTGGGACATCTCATCCATAAATAGTAATAATGTCGTGATGCCTTTACTTTCACTTGTTTCTCCTAATGGTGCTGTTAATTGTACTTGTAGTGATAAAGGCGCCATGTTTATGCAATGATGTCACCCGTTTTCCTACAGGAACTCTGTTTGCCCAGAAGTCTGGAGGGGCCCCTGGGCCTGCTGTGTCGGCAGCTGCTGCTTCAGCCTCCCCTGCTGGAACCAGCACTAGCTTTGGCTTCTCTGCACCCCTGGCTCAGACCCTCAGCCCCTCGTCCTCCTCCTCCTCCAAGGGTCCCAGCTCGGCTGAGCCGGCCCCCAGCGGGTCACCCTAACTCAGGCTGCCCTTTGTACCTGCTCCCCAGGCCTCTCTTCCACCGGGAGGCCCAGCAAGAATATACAGTACAATGAGAAACCGATAAGAATAACAGACTGTTGCACAACAAATACCTCATCAACCCTGTCAACCTCTTGGCTGTCCAATCATGAACACAGAGCCCAAGATTATTATATGACAACACGTGCCCTAACGCACAGCTATGCAGTGTATTCAACATACAAACACGCACTACACTACAAACACACACAACAACAACATATACAGACACACACTCTACACATAAACACACTTGTTAATCCAAATGTACATGCTAAACACAATCAGCTCAGCCAAAACCCACTGACAGGTGTAGTCACAACTGAACTTGAAAAGTTTTATCTTACGACATTTTGTTTGTTTGTTGCCATTTTGTTGTCTTTTTGATTTTGTGTTTTAGAATGATTTTTTTCTCTCTCTCTTTTTACATACCTCAAATCAAGTAACCTGCAGTGGTGTCTTTACCTCAGGAGCTGTAGTATATTTAACCCGAATCAAACTTTATTTTTGTATTCTTTTTGACCTAGTTGCAATCAGGGGAAGTCGGGTAACTCCCACCAGTGGAAACTCATGTGTAGAGCACCCACCTCACATTGACGAGCCTCCAACCCGGGCCGCTCAGGTTTCTTTAACACACTGTAGCCTCTTGCTGAACTGAAACTGGTGAACAATCAGATGCTGTAGATCAGCACATCAAATACCTGATTTCACACATAACTCTGTCCTCAGTTCAGATCACGTTAAGTCCATTATAATAGTTGGAGGGTTAATGATATATACAAACCAAACTGTAAACTCTCACTAGCAATGCACAGGATTTTTACGCCCACCTAAAATTCAACTTATTGCAGTCAGCTGTCTTCAAGCACGTAGCACACAAAGTTGGGGGAACAGCAACTCTAATCCACCCACAGCAGGCCGAGCAGACCCTGAGCTCCTTTCTCCAGCCGGCCCCTGTCTGTCTGTGTTACAGAGAGGCCGCACAGCATCAGGTTTGAGTTTGGTGTCCCCCATTTTGTTTGTGCATCCTCCCTCCAGCTGCAGCAACAGAGCTGAATGTCATTTTGACGGCGTCATCGTTAATAGCGTAGACCTCACAGTGGCCTCTCTGCTCTGGAGGGCGTCTCTCTCTCGCTCTCTCTCTCTCAGGAAGGAAAGTGACAACTGCAAGGAATCACTGTTAATTTAAAGACGAGGGGAACAAACGGATTCTTTACTGAAGAATGCACAAGTCTACGCGACTGTTCAAGAATACCTCATCAGACACTCGAAAAGAGAGCCACACTACATACCTCATACGGCCGCAAAGCCATGGAGACTTGACGCCCCAACCCGGGATGGAAGTCCTACCTGAACTGACACTGAACGTGAACGTGCCGACACACTGCTGCTGCTGCTGGTTTTTGGGGACAAACAGAACTGGGGTGGTAAACATCTAGCTCCTCCTGTATTTACTTGTAGAACTTGTTTTATGCTTGCTTGCTTTTTTCTCTTTTCTTTTCTTTTGTTCCTCAAGTTGTTGTCTGAGAAGAATGATATATATCTGCATTGTTTGTTTTTTTTCAGGGAAGAGGAAAAGAATAGTCGGTTCCTCACTGGCACGTGTAGATCTGTAGGATTGTTAGCCGATTTCAAGGTTGCAGGAGTGCAAAAAAAACATGGAAAAACAAACCATGTTACATTTGACTGCCAACACCTTAATCACAGTTAACACGTCTTCTTTCATGAAAGCGGCGAAATGATATGCATGTGTACAATCATGTGACCAGTGTTTTGACACCCTGATCTTCTGGTTCACGCTAGCCTCTGGTTTATTGCACAGCTAGATACCAAAGATTAGCCAGGTCGCTCCTCTTGATTGGTCCCTCGTACAATCCTGCTGCACTGCACAGCAAAGGCAGTTCAAGGTCTATTTTGGACTCTGAATTTGAGGTTTTTTTTGTTTTTTTCCTAAGCAAGTGAAAACATCTTTAGGTGAGGTAAATTCCCTTGTTTCACGGCATGACTTGATTAGTGGAAATGAAAAATATGTCCATTTAAAACTGGATGCAAGTATCAAAATCTGACTACATAACATGTAACAATGGGACATTTTTGTTAGCAGATATTTAGGTGTTGTTATCCAGAACAGTATCCCAGATGCTGGGGCTTTCCTGAGCTGTCTCCCTAATTTAATCTTTTACATTTAATTGGCTCTTGGGGCTGGTTTTCAACACAACAGTGTTGACAGAGCTCCACAAGTCTGGCCTCTGTATGAAAACACCCACTTCTTAATAATCCAGAAACGCCTGCATTGTATGTTTTTTTTTCTCCCTTTAATGTAAAATGTTAGCATTTTGGAATACCATAACAGATGAAAATGAATTTTCTATCTTTATCTGTGTTAAATGTGAGGCATTTGAACAGTTTAGAAACCTCTCCAAGCCCAGTGTGATCTGAGGTGGGCAGCCTTGTTGCTTTATTAGACTTGAGCCATTACGTGTCAGGTTTTGCAGACGTTTTGCAGTGAACATCACAGCTGAAGCTTTGAGGACTTTGAGGACGGTGCCATAAGTCCTTTTGGTGTACCTTCCACAACCCTGTATGACACATAACTGTATTTTATAAAGGTGAGAATTGTAGATGCTGCCTTAAAGTAGTTGCTGGTGAGATCCAGCCAGTGCAGGTTTTACTCCTCAACTGGCTGGGAAGATTTCTCTCTCTTAAAGTTTAATCCTTTGGAGAGTAATCACTTTTTATTTTGGTAAGCAATTCAATCAGACGTTAGACACCAGTCGTCATTCATGCTGTTGCATTGACAGCTGAGATTTGCTATTTATTTGTGGAATTTTATTTTATTTTTTCCTGGTGGACCTTGTTTTTAGTAAGTTGAGCTTAATCATTTAGGCTGTGCTACTAAAACATTTTTTTGTTTCTAAGTCCAAGCTTTCTGTGTCATCTGCTTAGTCTAAGCAATGACTGTTTTGATAGTGTAGCTTCACTGCCTGTGTGTGTGTGTGTGTGTGTGTGTGTGTGTGTTTGTGTGTGTGTGTGTGTGAGACAGAGAGAGATTTAAAAAAAAAAGCGGGTTCAGTATATACAGCATGTGGTTGCAGTTCTACGATGTGAACCACACCTGTGGAGTACCACACTTACATACACTTGGAATAACATTTAGGAAACTGCAGGTGCCGGTACGTCTATTATATCACAGAAGGAGGAGCTCGCTCAAGATGACACAAATTCAGTTTCAGTTCAAGTTTTGATGACACTTTCAAAAGTCTTTACATAAAGGATTAAGCACTCTCCAGCATTAGCCTCTCATTTTGTTTATTACTCCCAGTCTTCTGCTGTTGAAGGGCACTTTGCTGATCATTGTGTGGAAGCGGAAAGTTTGGAGGGTTGGTCATTCACTTGTCTCTGACCCTCAGGTCACCTCACTGACCTCCAGGCCCCTGCCACCTGACATGCTGCGTGGATGAGTATATATGATGTGTTGTACCTGTAAGTCTGTGTGTGTTAGAGACCGCCCCTACCTCGTCATACCACAATACCTCAGGGCAGTGGGCTGCAGTCACTGTTGCGTTTGATGTTGAAGCTGCATTGAGGGACGAGTACTGGCGGAAGCTGTGGTCACTTTGCTGAATGCTACTTTGGTTTTGGTGTTGCATTTTTGTATTTTTGTCGTCAGTAACTGCAGGCAAGGTCTCGTCACTCAGGAAGCTGTGAAGTTGGATGTCTGTAGAACCTTTTGTCTCAGATGATTTTGGAGTTGATTCAGTTGTTTAAATTGTTTTAAAAACTAACCTGATCTGTGTAAAAACAGGCGCATATGCAAGTGGTTATCGAATACCTCATTTATCAATTTTATGTTTTTGGCTTGTACAATGCTCCGTATATTAATTCAACTGTGGGGTTTGTGCATATTTTTGTACTGTTATTATTATGGACATGATAATAATGATATTACTGATATTATAGTTTTCTCTTTGATTAAAGCAAACAAAAAAAAAAAGGACAAAACACATGAATGCTTGTAAAAACTGGTTTGTGCTGATTGTATTTAAGAGGAGCACTTTTCCAAAGTGGTTTTCACATTCAGTTTTGTTCATATTAGTAATATAAAGATATGGTTCTCAGGGCTTTAAACTTGTATGTCATGATAAAGTTTTACTTTATATCTTATTTTCATGTGTGTTTTTTATTTCCTCTTTAAAAGTTTAATGTCACCATCTGATATGGACATCGCAAACGTCACACCCATTGCTACTTATCTCTAGTTTCTAAATGGCTATAACGCAAAGATTAGAGTCTTGGTGACACCCAGAAGCATTTTCACATCCTTTAAAGTGGACTTTCATTACATAGGAAGGTGTCTGTGTCACAGGTTCAACAAGTTCCCCAACAACAAAAACCTCCTTACAGCTCGATTATTGATATCTGTAAGTTTGGTTATTCTGCAAACATATCAGCCCAGCCTTTTTATGAGTCATTCTGGCTTTGGGACGTGCCGATATTTAAAAAAGCTCATTAACATTTCCCAAATGAGTTTCATGTGAGAGCAATCCTAGCACATCATGTTCAGGAAATGTCACAATGAAAGTTGTGAAAATTCCCATCAACCCTTTCTGTATTTCCCCATCAGTGATGATTCTGGACCATTTAGAGCTCAGGGGCCATACTGGAGCCAGTAGTTTTTGAAGGACACGGACAAATTAATAATTAAAGAGACTGAAACTGGCTGTGTGTATGAGGAAGTCAAGTGACACCGCCTCTTTGAAAGTAAAATGTGAAGTGATGCATGTAGCCTGCTGCCATCATTTTACAGCAGTTTCATGTATATGAAAAGGGAACAATGCACATAGACAAGGTATACCTCCGGTATACAGCGATGAGCGATGCCAATTTTTATTGTATTCATTACCCTGAGGGACAATAAGGCACAAATCACCTTATTTGTCTTTACTTGCAATTACTAGCCATCAAGTGCAAAGACGCCTGATGTGATTTACACAAAACAGTGACTCCGAGATACAACATGTTAAAGATTGTGTACAACTATATCATTAAGTATTACATGTATCTTCATCCAAGATTTAAAGTGCTAAGATTTCCTGAAAATACTGGTGGAAGGAATTTAATTATGGCTCTGTTCATATAAGCTCAAACATTAGGAAATATGGCTCAGTCTGTTGTAACGCAAAGGCTGTCAAGCAAGTCTGAGGTAGGATGCAAGAGAGGAAAGTACTGCTAAGAAAATGTCCCCTCCATTCAGACAGAATTTCACATTAACGGCAACGGATGCAAGACACTTACAGGTTGTATTTCAAAATCATACTACTACAAATATTGTAAGACTCAAGTTTTTTTCCTCTTAATCTACATAAAAGTGGTTTCAATACACCCACCACAGGTTTCCTGCATGCAGCACCAGCATCTGGTTTTCTGAAATATAATCTTTCAACAATAAATAAATAAAAGCATTAACAGTTCATTTTTTTTTAAACCAGTTTCCCAAGTTACAACTCTACATGTATTTCTTACTACAAAGATAGTAGCAGAGGAGACATAAGTTGTATGACATATAACAAAGTAAACCAAGTTTTATCATGTTTCTGGTTTCCAAGACAACCATGGACATCTTAATAAATCTGACTGGCTCCACACGCTTTATATTGAAATTGGTATGCGAACGGAATTATTATTAACATAATCAAAAAGTTTAACTTACATTACAAAATATTGCATCATTATTGTTTACATTCTGCGCAAAACGTCAAGTGCAGTAAAGGATTCAGAAATACTGTAAGAGGAGCATTTCAACATGTATTTTCTACACTGCTCATAAAAATAAAATAAAAAACCAAGGGAACACTTAAATCAGACATCAGATCTTGATGAACAAAACCGTTCAAAATCTTTACTGTACATTGTATGATTCACTGAACAAAATCACGTGTCAGTGGAAACCAAAACCACCAACCGATTGAGGGTGGAATACAGGTAAAAAAAAAACGAAATCACGGCAACTCATAATGTGACTCAGTAGTGAGTATGGTCCCCACGTGCCTGGATGCACTCCTGACAACGTCTGGGCATGCTTCTGATGAGATGGCAGATGGTGAGACCAGACCTGGATCAGGGCACGCTACTGCTATGGCCCACTGCACCAGCACACGGTCTGACAATGGCTCTCAGGATTTCATCCCGGTACCTAACAGCAGTCAGGGTATTGTTGCAGCATAACGTTCAAACATGGCATCTCCAGACTCTTTTACATCTGTCACATGTGCTCAGTGTGAACCTGGGGGGGTGGATCTGCCAACTCTTGTGTTCTCTGGCGAATGTCAGTCTAGTGTCACGGTGCTAGGCTGTGAGCACTAGAGGATCTGGAGTCTGTCAGTTTGGTCAGAAACATGAACACCAGTAGCTCGCTGGAGGCCATTTTGTAGGGTTCTGCTCTTCCTGTTCCTCCTCGCACAAATGAGCATATATTGGTCCTGCTGCCGAGTTGATGCCCTTCTTCAGCCCTGTCCAGCTCTCCTAGTGTAATGGCCTGTCTCATGGTATCTCCTCCGTACTCTTCAGACCGTGCTGGGAGACACAGCAAACCTTCTTGCGACAACACTATGGCCATTCTCGAGGAGCTGGACTACCTGTGCAACCTGAATGGGCTGCAGGTCCCGCCTCATGCTACCAGTAGTGACAAGGACACTGGCAAAACTAGAGAATAATCAGTCAGGAAGTATAAGGAGAGGACTGTCTGTGGCCATTGCCTGTTGCCTCTCCAGTCCACATGTTGTCACTTTCATTTGCACCAAAACAGGTGACACTGATTCAAAATTGCTTATACTTCCTAACTGAACAGATAATATCCCTGAAGTTTAATTTACATGATGTTATACTGTGATGATTATGTGTTCCCTTCATTTTTTGAGCAGTACATTTGAAGGCTAGAACTAATTATGAAATATAGAAATTCTAGCAATTTTAATAAAAGCATTAATTAATTAATGCTGCACTCCTAGCTACTGTATGACTACAGACAGGAGTTTATCACAGTTGTATTCGTATCATGTTATTTACTCGAGACTAACAAGACAACTCTTGATCAGAACAGCCATTAGGCAAACCCAGACCAGTGGGCAGGATGAATGCACCCCCGCCCTGTTCTCCAGTTGTATTTGGTACTGTGCCAGGACTCTGCTGTAGCCCATCTCCTCCGACACACATTTGTATGTTCCCACCTGCTCGGGACCCATGCTGTCTATCAGATGAAGGCACCGCTCCTCCATTAAGTTGCATGATGTGGAGCTTTCACTGTTTGGGGAGCTTTTAAGGTGATGCCAGGTGTACTGGGCGTGATGGGACGACACCGGGCACTCGAGGAAGTACTTGGACTGAGAGCGAAGTTTGATGCTTCCCTTGGCCTCGTCTGCATGTGTATCTGGGCTACGCACTGGGAAAAGAACACAAGTAAGTTTGTTTAACTATAATACATATGTTATTTTGTTTTATTTATTCAATCTTTATTTAACCAGGCTTGTTTGGCAAGACTCTTGGAAAGGATGTTGAATCACTTGGGTCCAAGCAAAAAAACATATCTAATGGCTAAGTGAAAGGGGTGGATGGCCAAACCACCCCTTTCACTTAGCCATTAGATATGTTTTTTTGTAATATAGTCAGGCGACTAAAACAACTGAAAGATGAGGTAAGAATTCAGCAATATTTTTTCCTTCTGAAAGACAGGTAAGGCTCGTAAATTAAAACTGCAGCACAATACTGTACCACAGATCAGATGTCAAGGGCAGCATTCATTGTGGCAGGGGCATGACTAAGCCAAAACCACATAGAATGCAGAGCAAGGCTACTTCAGACACATCTAAATAGCCATGTCCTTTGTTTGGAAGTTTCCCATATCGTGTGAAGCATTTGGCAACATAGGAAGTTAAGAGTTCGAATCAGCCTCACTTAACAGGCACACAAAGACAGGCAATATTGAATATGCCTGATAAAAAGATGTGACGTAGTGGATGTAATCTCAGGGGCTGCTACTTTCAAGACAAAAACATGAAGACCGTGTAAATCATGATTCCTGAGAGAAGCTGCAGAGAAATTACCGTGTGTAACGGGACAGCTTCAGCACAAACACTGTAGGTGAACATGAATTAGTGTGTTTGTGCCTAAAGAGCTTAGCTATTGATGTGGGGATAAAGGTGGCTGTGTTGGGTGAAGATGATGATTTACCCGTGTCCTTACAGTGACCCAAGCACAGCGCACACACATACACACACACACACACACACACACACACACACACACACACACACCACTCCTAAACGGGACAATGTTACTGACTTAATGTACTCACTGAGCTATTGAGGCAGTAATATGTAAAGTCCTGTCTGCATTTAGTTATTACCAACATGGTTTGCGTGTAAATGTAGTTAAATGTTTCATTTGCAGAGTGTTTGCCTAACATGACCATGCCAACAAGGCAAGTAGTTTGATGAAAGAGAGATATTTGAATTCAGAAGGTGTACGGTTGTATTTTGTTTAATAAGGAGAATCAATAATAATGTTTTAAACTAAAATGCTGCCCAGATCTCAAATATTGTACTTTTAAGAAGACAGTTTGATCGGTACACATAGAGAATTGTTACTAAAGTAGTCCACCCATGTTTTAAATACACATAAGCTTTTTTTTTTTTCCCCAAAAAAGGGATCAGTGAACAGAGTACAGCCACAAGGCAGCACCCATGAAGACATTTTTGGAAGTTTAGTAACAGCAGCTATAAAATAAAGCTGGGCATACATTGTACAATTTAAGAAATGTTGTTGAGAATTGTTTGCAATATAAAGCCAAAGCTCACAATTTATGTGATCACACTCAACGGTCTGATTGCCAAGCAACGACCTTAGTGTTCACAATGTACGTGTAAAATAGAAAATAAAACAGCTTATCAGCCCCAGCAGACCGTTAACATGTAGCTCACTAATAAGGAAGGATATTGCCCTCAGTTTGAGAAAAGAAGTAGCTGTGCTGCAGGATGTGAGGTTCTTTGATAAACTATATTTAACATTGCTCTCTCTCCTGGCAAACTGTGTGTGTGTCTAATGTTACTCAGTAAGTGTACAGTTTAGAGAGAGAAAAAGGCTGAAATATGCTGGGGTTTCAGATTGTGCAGACAACAATAATAAATGTCAGATTTGATAGACTTCTCAAATGTCATAAACAATTCATTATTGATAACTCTTATAATCACTACAGATTTGTGTGTTCAGATGTTGATCCAGGGTTTCGTATATGCATTTGGACTGATTACTATAGTATTAAGAAGGGAGGGGTTCCAATCAAACTACATAGGCACAGCGCTTAGATTTTCATGCAGGCAATTATCATAAATTATATTAAAGTAACTTTAGAGAAGTAGTTTGACATTTGCCCAGCTGTTTCCAGTCTTCATGCTAAACTAAGCTAACCGGCAGCTGGGGGGGTAGCTTAACACATTACTTAGCGTAGAGTCATGAATGTGCTACTCTCAGAAAGAAAGCGTTAAAATGTCCAACTACTCATTTAAACATCAATTTCAATATAATAATTGAAATGTAAACTACAAATGGCAAGCAAACATTTTATAATTAGCTAAGAAGAAATGAGAGAACTTTCAGAATTACACAAATTACATGTGACCATCTGATGTGTTGTGTTCCTTTGAATCACATGTTAGGCACACACACTTAAATTTCAGTTACTCCCCCCCCACCCCCATGTATCCTGTATCCAGCTAGGCTGTAGTTTCGATGCAGTTCAGATTTAAGGCAAACTTGTTTTGACCTTGGATTTGCATGAAATTAGCACATAGTGTCTGTGTTAAACCACAAAACACAGGAACAGATAAACTTCTTTAAAAGTATGTCAAACTTCACAGCTGGCTATGTGAAAACACCTAAAATATATTGGTCTCAGACAATAGGCTACAGACTGGGCTTTTTAATGCAATAAACATCTACATACCAGGCTGCTGACTTGACACAGATAGGCAGATGGTATGGTTCCCTTGGGCCACATCCTGCAGTGTGTTACTGTGAAAGGAAAGGAGTATCGGAGTTAGAAAATCTGTTACACTGAAGATGAGTGTTAGAAAAACTACATATAGGCCTACTGATATTTAAACTGATGTTATTGCAGAGAACTTGACTCGGTGCTTCCCATATTCCCCCCCTTATTCCCATATTTAGTTTGAAGTTTGGGGGGTTCTCTAGATTCCACAAATATCCACACCAGTATACCAGTCTTCACTCAAGCCACACATTAGGGAACTGCCAGTCAGACTATTACTCAGAGTAAGAATAGACACACCTCCACTTTCATTTCTTAGTCAGCTTGTCCGTATGTGGGCAAGCAGGATGCATGCGTAATTTTTATGATGCATTACCTGTACATGAACAAGTGAGCTCAAGTATCAAAGTAATCGACAACATCACAGAAGGTGTGCGTTGCTTTAGGGGGGAAATAAATGAGTGTGAAGGGGGTGGCAGGGTAGGAATGTGTCTGTATATAGGTGCCAAAGTTTAACCACCTACGCACCAACCACATATTGAGATAAGTTGATATATTCTAATTCGTCCTTCCTGTTTACAGAGAACACAGTCTGTCAGGTTTAAAAGTAAAGTTAGTGTCAGGTCAACTTGTGATCACTCTTTGCCAGCTAGACTAAAACTGTATGTGTAAAGTGAGAATGTAATAATAATAATGCACTCAGAGTGCAGATCTCCGCCAGGCCTCTTATCAGTCATTGCATGTGTTATCAATGCCTTTTTGGCCTTTCGCATCACTTCACCCCATTTAGTCTGTACTGACTTTTCCAAGCGAACGTCAGGTCACGTAGTATAAAGAGCGACCAGTCCATGTACGTACAAGATCAGGATGGATTGGTCAAACAAATACAGCTTTTATCGTCACAGTATGAGGGTTTATTTTTAGAGAGAACAGGGTTTTTTTTATACTTACTGACTTACTAACTGATAGATAAAAATTTCTTTAATGTGAAAAAAAGTCTGTTACATTTATTATAATGAGAAACAGATGATGTTGTACTCACTTACCACAGTCAAAAAGTCAGCTGACTGTTGTTCAGCTGACAGACCTCATGACAGCTATTTGCTCTGTGCCCTACTAAACCAACAAAATGCTGAAAGCTTTGCACGAGAACTTGATGCAATGCACACTGAGGATGTGACTCAGAAAGAAGTGGGTGGACCACTTATCAGAAGGTTAGTGGTTCAATCCCGAGCTCCCCCAGTCTGCATGTTTAGGTGTCTTTGGGCACTTAGTGTGAATGTTAGTTTCCTGATGGCCACTGACTATGTAAATGTGACACGTAGTGCAAAGATGTTTGAGTGGTTGAAAGGTGCTTTATAAGCGCAGTCCACTACCATTTAAACTGCCGCCACACAAACACCTCAGTTTATTACTTTCCTATAGTCTTTGTATTGTCAAATCCCTTGTGTTTCATTTCTTTAAATCTAACTGTGGAGTGTGAAGTGAAATCATGGCTCTGAAGTGATCATTCGTTTCGGGCAGTAATAAAGTCAGACATGTAAGTAGCTCTTGCATTTTGAAGTTTTGGTGTTTCAATTGCACATAATAACAATGAAGCTTGGAAAAGATCTACATATATTTCTACACTCTTGATGCTGCAAATGTTATGTACCCATGAAAACCACTCCTGCAGCATAATCATAATCCACTCCTCAGTATTCACTCATTTTTTCTGCCAAATAATGGATTAACAAAATAAAAATCAGACCCAGTAATGCAAAATGTAACATCATTTAAAATATCATCCAAATGGTAATGATGGTAATAATGGTAATGGCTTATAAACACTGATGCCATCTTGCTTAGACCAATGAAAGAATAAACCACAGTCTTTACTTGATACTGTGCTGACAAACAAAAACAACGGACAGCAGTGGAATATGTGTTGTAGTGTTGTTAAAAGACTTCTGGTACTAAAGTGGTGCTTCTCAAAAGGTTGGTAATGTGTACAAAATAAAGTCTGCAAGCACAGCAACTGTTCTGTACGATAACTGGCGTTGCGTACTGGTTGAGTGTTGAGATAATTTGTAAAAATGATTAACACTGTCATCACAGTTGCTTCATACTGGAAATGAAGACTCTTTAGCAGGTGCAGTTTGTAGTGAGATGTAGCAAGCTCACACAGTACACCATTAAGCAGATTAGCTTGAATACATGTGTATGAATTAATTAAAAAAGGTATCCTGTGGGGTTTTTGGCCAGTAGTAGTGCAATACACGAGTAGATGGGCGACGCAAAATACATTTCTGCCACTGGTTTCATGCTATTCCACTGATCAAAAATGAGCAGTGGTAATGTGATAAGAAATGTAGCAGTGTGCGTGTAAACTAGGAACTATTTAAGATGGAAGTTTTTGTAAGTGTTTTTTGGTGACAAACAGTCAATGTAAAAAGCCTTTGTTGGTTCACATGAAAGCTCCACGGAGCATCTTTAAGCTAAGCACTACATGTGATGTTTGGATGTGAAATGAAAGTTTATGTTTAGATATTTAGATTAAATGTGGTCTTACGTTGTTGCAAGGGTGCAGCTGATGCTGTTCCAGCCGCAGTAGGGATCTCTGGCTAATACACACTGCTCACAGTTGTCTCCATACTGGGCACAGTTTGCCACATCCAGTTGCACAAGTTCACTTCTGGAGTTCACATACAGATTCCTCTGCGATGATACACATTACAGATGGTTTTGAATGGTACAGGGCCATTGCTGACCTTTTCATTAAAAACAAAACTATCCTTGTAAAAAAGTTCAAACTTCATCTTCTTCAGGAAGCACAACACTTTCACTATAACCAATATTGTCATATGACTAAAAGTCTACCATACTCCCACTCTTGGGTCATGGAGAGGAGAATAGTTGTGCTATGGTGTTGCCAGCATTACTCACAGAGGAGGGGTGAAGGATGATGCTGAGGATGTGGGTCGTGTGGTTGAAAGGTCGATACTCAGCGTTGACAAAGGTGGAGGTTTTATTCTGCGTCACCTTATGAACCCCTCCATTATCTGTTTAAAGAAACAGGAGGAAGGATGACTAAAATAAACCTGTCTAAACAAACCACACAATCCAAACCAACCCACACTCATATCTCATGTTGCATCACCTCATATAACTCTTCGATCAAAGACTACGATGACTAAATGCTTAATTAAAAAAATTACAACATCTGTTGAGAAACTTGTGTGAACCTGGCCTCCAGTAAATACTATTCATGTCAAGAGAATGATGATTAAAAAGTATGAAAAAGGCTGAAGTTCTTCTTTAGGAGCTTCCTCTTCCTTATTTGGCAAAGACCTACAGGTTTAGACGTTGCCAGTTTGTGTCATTGTACACCAGTCTTTAGTACACGTACTGAGCGGCTCTATGACTTGCTTTTAATTCTTGTAGTGGGTTGATTGTCGACAGCATCTCACATTAAATATACAAAGGTCAAAGTCAGCTTTAGCAAGCCAGATTTGGTTTAAACTTTCACATCCTATTTTCCACTTTTAAAGCCATAGTTAGACTTTTCAAAACCTACCCTCAGCCTTTCAAATGTTGAAATTAAAGTTAATTTGTGCTAATATATACTGTACCACCTTGGTGTTTGTGTTACTCTGTACTGTAATTACCAAAAAGAAACAAAATAGATTTTTATATATTTCTATGCAGTCATAGCACCTCCTCTGCTGATGTTCTCTAGTGGGTGTGAATTTTTGATACCACCGAAGACGTCAGTATTGTAACTTGACTGGTGGAGCATTTAATTTCCAACAAAGAGTTAGGCACGAGCCCCTGGGAACAGCACTGGGCTGTGAGGCAAATTACGCGAATTTGGCCAAGCCACACTGAATCTAGTCCACAGAATAGAGTGGCAACTATTCCAAGAAGAGTTTCACATTTGCTTTTGTGTGTTAAATTCCAGCTAACTTGTACCACACACACCTCATTACACCCCCCCCCCCCCCCCCCCCATATCCCCCGCCCAACAGATACTCTATACTAGCCGTCAGTGCTGCTGCTCAAAAATAGGTTGTTCAAATTTTTTCACCCAGTACAACAACCTATTTTTAAAAAAGGAACCCGTGTATGTAATCACTCTTAAATGTACACAAATATAAATATAAACCAGGCCTATTCTTAGTATCAACTTCCCTAATTAGTTTTACTGTATTACTCACTTAGTGACAGAAACAGGACCGGGGGGTGATCATTGCTCTTGTTCTGGGAAGTATGGGCGTAGATACGAGTGTAGCTGTGGTAATTAAAGAGAAGTGGGCCGGAGTTGCCCACAGGGCTGATCCATTTCTCCATCTCCAAAGTCTTCTTGATCTTCCTCAGGGTATCCGCAGTAATCTTTGTACTGTCTTGAACACACTGAAGAAATAGGCATGTTTTGGTTTTGGCTGCACACCAACTGACTGTTAAGCTTTCCTGTCAAGTGTTGTGTTCTCACACCGCACATGTGCACTCTACAATAATAATTTTAGAAACAATGGCTCCTCGATTTCAGACCGAGGTTGGGCAAATTTATGTTATAAGTTATGTCTCAAGATGTGCTGAAATGCTGATTTGAAGACTGCATCAGTCATGTTTATTACTCATAACTAATAACTTCATCTACTTTGTAACTATATTTAAGCACATGGTTTGAAAGATAGCAGCTAGAGAAATGCCAGGAAACATTTTGTGATGAGACAAGTTTTTACATTTTTGAATCAATTAGAAAGACGCATACCTCTCTAGACCTGTCCTCTGAGTCACCTTTAAATGCGGAGGTCCTGAAGATGTTGTCAATATCTCGTATTGTGTAGACACACACAGCACTCATCCCCCTGCAGAGACACAGAGGTTAGCTGGTCTACGCAGACGTCTGCAGCAACAAGAAACTGCTGTGAGGTCAGTTAACAGCTGAGTTTAGGAGGAAGAGGAACTGAACTAAGCAAAAACAAAGTATAGGGAAAGACAGTCTACAAAGTTTTGCCCATTTTGTCAACTAACATTCGTCGTATTTTACGTCTTTATCCTCATGATGGTTTGTACTTGATTTGGTTAAACTGGCATACATAACAACTTGAGTCAAACTTGGAAAATATTGGCCCTCAGGTCTTTTTCATTATCATCGATCAGAAGTAGAGTCCTACCATTCATTTCTGAAGAGTGCATAAACCGTGGTATCCTGCCACTCTTGTGCATGCACAGTAGCCACATCTACCAGCTCAGAGAAGTGCTGTCTGCTGGTGGGGTCACCACAGAAGAGCCTTGCATTCAACTGGGACGTCCAGCTAAACTGCAGGTTGTTCTTGGGACCACCAGTATCTGCCTAGAAGCAACGCACACCCAAAGAACCAATCATTCCTTCATAATGCTAATGTAATGATTAGAATATGAAATGGATGTGGTTACACTTTGTGCACATATCGGATTGTCAATATTTTTTTCATATAGTCTAGCTAAATGTTTGTGGAAGTTATTTAATCCCAATTTATTAATCCTGCAGGCCTTACCATGCAAATCTGGGTCACAAAAGGGAGCCACATTTCACTGTCCAGGCTCGCCTCTTTGTTTTTTTCTTTATAGAAGGCATAAACTTTGTCCTGCAAGGGTTTGGGTTTCTGTCTGCTGACCACCAAACCCACATAGTGCTGCTCTAAAAACAGAAAATCAAAGTAATTATTTGTCTTTAAGGATAAATGAATGTTTAAGAGGACAACATTTTGACAAAATAAACGTCCTTACAGAAAACCTCTCCATGCAAATACCTTTATTATTATTGTTTGCTGGTCCAACTTTGTTTGCCCCAAACTTGTGGATGCCAACAAAATCATTAGATCCAGAGTATGTGATGTAGAGATCTGCACTTCCTGCTGATTCTGCAAAGAGAGAACAAATGATTACAATTGTTAAGGTACAATAGCAGCATCACTATGCTTTAAGTTTGCGGCAAGCGTGAGTTCATCTTTCATATTCCAGACACCAGTTTCTGCTGACAGGGACAGTATGTGTGGTATGAAAAACTGCTTACTGATAAGCAAAGTGTGTGTGAGGGGCATAATGTATCTGTACTGGTGTTGATGCCTTGTGGGAGTCTGGGGTGGCTAGTGGGTACAAGCAGGAAGCACAAGTGAAACAGTTGTAGCGAAGACAGAAACGAAAACCATGTATACAGTAGTGCTGAAAAGGGCATCGATTCAGCAAACACCTGCCCTGGATAAGTAGGAATGACTTTAACCCATGAGGATTAAAAAGTCTACAGCCATTATGGAAAACTGGTGAATCAGAAAGCAGAGATTCATCAGCAGATGCAAAAAATTTTTACAAAAACTCACCCACGAGGGCAGAATGTTCCCCTTCTTGTATGATAAATTCCCTTATGCTTTCTTCTATTTTTCCCAGTTTTTCAGAGGGAATGCATGTGGGTGACTGCTCTGATAAATTCTACAAGAAAACACAGTAGGTCTTAATGTATATCCGCTGTTCTCCATCATGGGCAGCACAGATGTGATTTAATGATTCACTATACCCAATTGACACCTTCGCTAAGCCACGTCCCCCTTAGTTACTGTCCGACAAACTGTTGACTTTTATCACGGCGCTGCCACAGTCTATTATTGCATTTCCTGGATCTCAGAAAGAAGCAGACAGTTCTGCAGTTGCAGTTTGTGCATTTGAAGGCTGTATTCAGGTTGTCAGACCAACGTAAATAAAAAATGACAGAGGCTAAAGCCTACCAATCAGAGTAAAAGTGAACCACCGTATTATTATTGACTACTGAGAAAGAGGACAACGATATTACGGATCAACACTGCTTCTGTACAGCTGGGTAGGTCTCTATTCACTATTACAACCATTAAAAAGCAGAACAGTAGGGCTATATAATGCTACATTCTGTAGCAAGTTAGCTAGCGTTAGCTAACTAACATTACATTAGGAACAATCCACAGCCTACATTTTCCTGGATTTGTTTCAGGTTTTGAAAAGTGAATCAATCATACTTCTCCTTTCAACCTCTCTGGGTAGCGACTGTAACTATTGAAAGTGACCCAGGAACAGTGTTTCACCATATCTTGTAAAAATACAGCAAAGAAAAAGCTAGAAAATTACTCTTTTTACATGAGAGTCAATGGATCGCAGCCATGAAATTGTCGGACCTCAGTTAGAGAGAGTCCTATATTGGGCTGTGATTGGCCAGCTACGTATGGGGCGTGGCTTAGTGAAGGGTCAGTTCAGAAAAGTGTGTGCATTTGGTGTTTTAACACATAGTCTCTTACAGACAACAGCTGAACAAAACTTGTTCAAACTTCGTGTTGCACATCATTTATAGTCTTGCAACAGTATCAGTAGGTTGTTTCCAATAAACACAAGAGGAAGTGGCTAGTCCCACTGAGCAGTGATGTGCCACTGTAACCCGACAGATAAGAACGGATCTTCACCAGTGGGACATTCCCAATGTGTACAGCAAAACAGACAGTATTTTCCCTCCATTCTCAGTAACATCTGGTATATCTCCACAGCGTCCTACCATGTCACAGCACAGCGTTTCCCTGCCATCGGTTCCACACACAAACACCTGGTTGGCCTCTTCCCTTTTGTGGACCACAGAGATATTATAGTCACAATGCTAAATGACAAGAGAAAGGATTTCAGTTGATATTTCAATCAGATCTGACCAACATACCAAATGCTCTACTGTTTGGTATTAAGTAATGTTTTTTTTACTGCTCACTTCTCTGCTGCATTCTTTCCACAACACCTTTCTTTCCACAGGAGTCTGTGAGTAAAAGAAAAAAATTGCAGGACCATGATTTTTTCCATACCACTGTAAGTGAATGCTATCTGCTATTTGATTGTATACTCTAGTTATTTACTTAAGGCATGAGTTACCAGACTGTCCAAAATGCTCACTACCTGCTGAGGATTTTGCAAGTTGAATGAAATCAGGTGTTTGTGTCCAACAGATGTCACGGTGTGTGGCTTTTCTTCCAGAACGATCTGTACGGGTGCATGGTGTCCAGGTAAAGGGAAACTTTTCACTGCAGAAAAAAAAGACAAGATAGTTAGAATGACAAATAAGGTGTCACAAATTCACCAACTCTTAGTTTGTTTTCAGCTGCTTTTGCTTTATCACTAACTCTCCTGTTGTTTCAGGTCATGCCGCTCTTTGAAGCCATGCAATAATCACGCATTGCCCTCACCTGGTTTCCCCCGCCCATCTCCTTACCTGCGGCTTTTCAATCCCATCATCAGTTCCTCTCATCAGTTCCCCCATATAGCATATACACAGGTCCACTTTCACTGTCAGATTGTCTTGTGATCAAGCTCTTCAGCAATTCCTGTTCTGTTTTTGCGTTATCTGCCGGCTGTGACCATAGATGGTAATTAGAAGCTGACATTTTTTCAGGAATCCTGTAGTGGGATTCCTGTGGGATTCTCTTGGGATGGGAGTCAATTTCACTAATCGTCATGGGACGGGAACAGGACAGGAAAGAGAAGTCAACAGGAGCGGGCAGGACAGAAATCATAGGTCAGTTTTTATATATAAATATTCAGTTCTAATATGAATAAACGCTATTTTCTCTTTTTCATTTTCTTTGGGAACAGGATGGGATGGGAGTCATTGTTCTAGGACTGGACAAAATTGAAAATCCACTCCCGTGTCACCCTCCACTATCAATTAGGATAGAGGCGTAGGAATGCATATCCTCTGCACTTCTGGTTCCAAATAACCAAGATGGCGTCGGCCAATTTGCCAAACTTAAAGCTTCAAAACGGTAGTCCACAAACCAACAAGTAACATCACGGTGGCTACGGAGCTGCTAGCATGACTGCAGTGTCTTAAGGAACCAGTATACTTTGTCAGAACTGTTTATCGTTGCTGTGTAGCAGGGCTTGTCAGTTGTAGATTAGGGGCCCCTCTAAAGACTAACTGACTTTAAAATGCTACTCGTTTTCTTCTTGGCGCAGTCTTTTGAAAAGTCCTGTTTTGCCATCTATAAAAAGGTGTGTGGTCAGCTTTGCCTTCACCCAAGTTAGCCTGCCACATCATCGTCAATTTTCTTCTACAAGTTTTGATGAGATCTGTTGTTGCCAGCTAGCCAGCAGCTAGCTTTATTTCATTCAGAAATTATATTCTCCCATCATTCAAATGCATGGCACACAGCCTGATGCCCTCATTGTGCAAATGTAAGCATTTTTAGAAGCACTGAGGCACAGACAACTTGTGGTAAAATGGGAGGACTGTCAGATTGAGGTTTGTTAATCAGCAAAATAAATGCAGAGTAAGTGGAAACGTGGGATAATGTACACAGCTCAAAAAACAAAGGGAATTGACCACATGTGACAGACGTAAAAGAGTCTGGAAGTGCTGTGGTGAAAGTTATGCTGCCTGCAACATCATCCAGCATGACTCATTTGGCGGTGGGTCTGTGCTGGTCTGGAGCTGCATATCCTTGAATGGTCGCACAGACTTCCATGTGCTAGCCAACAATACTCTGAAAAAAATGGACAGGTCTTTTTCAGAGCAAACATTTTGATTTGCCATAGTTGTTGCTAATAATTAAGTGTCCAACCAGCGAGGGGAACACTTTGGATCACTGTTACACCACAGTTAGCAGTGCCTATCACGCCGCGCTCCAATGGGAAACTCTGATCATGTCATGGTCCACCTGATTCTTGCTTACAGACAGAAATTCTGTAAACCTGTAGTGAGGACATCAAATAAATGGACCAGTGAAGCTGTAGAGGATCTTCAGGCATGCTTGGACTGCACTGACTGGGATGTTTTCAGGACTGCTACCAACAATCTGGATGAGTTTAACGTTACAGAGGCTGTGACGTCCTACATCAGCTTCTGTGAGGACAGCTGCTTTCTAACACGGACCAAGGTGAGTTATAACAATGACAAACCTAAGCTAATTTAAATTACACCGGTCCTAAAGGTTCGTCGGCCGGTAGCCATATGCCAGATTACCAGTCCACCCATGAGGCTACCCCGTTTAGACATCTGACGGACACAGAACCGACTGTAGCGCATTGATCTTCATCAGAGGAAGAAAACCGAAACTGAAAACACTTGTGATCAGACAGCAGTAACATCATAATTCCACACAAATGTTCACTTCAGCACCTCTGATAAAGTGCAGCTCACAGCTGCTTTAGAGGGAATAAATCATCCTGGAGACAGTTAAACAGTGGTGTCTCAGAGCGAGGGGGACAGAGACAGCAGGACACAGAGCGACAGGTGTCTGTGTCGCGGTCAGGTGTCGTGATATTCTCTCACTACTGCGCTGCGACTTTTATGTCAATACATTGACACTGACCGACAACATTTGTATTTAAATGTATTGATTACAATTTTGCCCCCGAGACAGCCTGCGTCGTGAAGATTATTGCTAAAGCCCCGGAAAAATGACGAAATGACGAAACCTCTCGCCACAAAAACAGCTTCTTCCCGTTTGCAGCTAGCCTCATGAACAAGGCCCGGGCCCCCCACTGACATTCCGCCCCCTTTCAAATAATACATGTCTCCGTACATGTATATTTCACTTCATATCATATCATGCACGAACCTGACACATTGCACATATTTGTTGTTAATTGTAAATTGTTGTTGTTCCATTGTTATTTTTATTATTTTATATTGTCAGTTGTATTTTTTTCTCTATTATTCTGATCTATTTATGTCAGCTGTCTGTCTGCGTGTAGCACCTTAACACCAAAGCATATTCCTTGTATGTGTAAAACACTACTTGGCAATAAAGCTCATTCTGATTCTGATAAGACATGATGATGGCTTTGTTCTATTTAAGTCCCAATGAGCCATGACAGTGTGACAGGACCCTGGAACTCAAGCAGCTAAATGGAATTCAGCCATCATTAATGTTATTTCTCTGTGTGTTTGCTACTGGGCCATTTCTATTGTTGTTGAAGTCACAACTTCCTCTAATTAGTTGAACTTGTTTTTGTCAGTTGTATCTTATTCTTCTTCATGGCCTACTTTTTAAATCCTGTGTGGTAGTTTTTTTTAATATCACCATAGTAGCCTATTCATATGCTGGCTTTGATGGCAGTGAATAGTAGGTTTACAATAAATGTAATATTTGAAACGATGTTTTACGTTCCAATTATATCACATGGCATAAAGTTATTTACTCTGTACTATAATGTTATGACTCTAGTGCTCGCCTGTGTGTGACCAGGTAGTTGCGCTACTTTTGTAGCTTATGTTTAAAATGAACTGGGGAAAAAACTTCGTATTTCACAATTTTAAAACGCTTTCCTTGTCGTATTTTCTTAGGTAGGCTACATGAAATTCAGCGCGATGTCAAAACTATTTAATGTTCCGAAGTTGAAGAAAAAAATCGAAATATTTCATACCTGTGTCTGTGAAGACCATCCTCGGTGAATGCGCCATGTTCGCTTCTGTCAAACTATTGAGGCATGAATATAATAAATATACTGTTAAGCGTAAGAGAGCCATTTTTCCGTCTGACCAGTCAGAGACAGAAGTTACCTACTTCTCAGCCCTGAAAGCCTGAACTCACTACTTTAGAGGGCTGTCGCGTCTCTCATTGGATGTGGTAATATAAGGTTTTACAATAACCGCCTACACTAGGCTATAAGACAATCATATATTTTTACAAGTGGTCACTTTGTGTTGAAAAGTGGTGGGGACATAGGGGCTCAGATTAGGCGTGTGAAAAGACATTATAATAGGCGATTTTAGGTTCAGGAGAAGGAGACAAAAAGATCCTTAAAATAAATATCTGAGTGGGGGGTCTTGGGGGACTTCCCCCAGGAAATTTTGCTCTTTAAACATTTCCTGCCTTTTGGTGAAAGTTTCTGCACCAATTTATGGTGGAAATGTTTTTATCTATGTAAAAGGAAACACAAAATTCAGGTGGCAGGTATAATTTCAAAATACATAAATATAATTTAATATAATGTAGTGCAGGTCTCAGGCATCTGTGTTGCTTTCAGATTTGTTTCTCCTGTAGATCAACTTTTCTCATTTAATATCATCCCTGCTGAGGCAACACATGTAGGCATGATTTAGTCTTCCCTCCTCTTTTGTCATGTTCAAAGGGAGAGAACAGAAAACTTGGCCAAAAAGAAACTGTGTCAAAAAGTTATTGGAGCTGCACATTTCTGGGTCATTTTATAATCAGTAGCTTCTTTTCTTTTAGCTTAAGTTACGTTTTTTTGGACAATGCACATGTGTCACATCAGTGGTGCTGAGGTGGAGCAAGGGAACAGTTTCAGGTTCCTGGGAATCAGTATCACAGCGAACCTGACATGGTCATCTCACATCTCCACGCTGGTGAAGAAAGCTCAGAAACGACTGTATTTGTTGAGGAAGCTTAAGAAGGCCAAATTCCCAAGCCATGTTCTTGTCAGCTTTTACAGAGGTGCAATAGAAAGCATCCTCACTGGAAACATCACTAACTGGCATGGGATGTGCACGGCCCAGGACCGGAGGGCTCTGCAGCGGGGAATTAAAACTGCTCAGAAGATCATTGGTACCCATCTCTCGAGCATCAGTGATATGGTTGAGGTGAGGTGCCTACGCAGAGCCCAAAGGATACTAAAGGAAAGTAACCACCCAGCCACAGCCTATTCACCCTGCTGCCTTCTGGGAAGAGATATAGAAGTATCTGCTGCCACACCACCAGACTGCAGAGCAGCTTTTCTCCCAAGCCATCAGACTTTTAAACTCAAATTCATCCTCAACACTGCTCCATTGAATAGTTTATTTCTGACTGCCGCTTTTATAATTGCTTTTATATTAATGTATATTGTCTTCTATGTATAAGAAGGGAGTTACAAACTCAATTTCTCTCTATAACCTGTTATATCGTGACATAATAAATCAACCCTCCTACCTTAAAGAAGAATAAAGGGAATGTTTTGGAAAGGCCAAGTCAAAAGTCCTGACCTTAAAATGATCGAAATGTTGTGGAAGGATGAAAAAGTGAGCAGCTCATGTGAGGTAACCCACCAACATCCAAGAGTTGAAGCTGTTCTGTACAGAGGAATGGGCAAAGATTTGTCCAAGTCAATGAGCAGAACCAAAGGGATCATTTTCACTAGGGACATGTCCCCACCACATTTTGAAATGGCTTATTTTGTCCGCGTCACTTTTTGAAAGCATTTGTTAAAAGAATAGCACCAAGAAATGTTAACTAACAAATGAAAATGCTTTGAGAAAGGTTGATTTGCACAAGTAAGGAAACATGCAATGCAATATAGTTTCTCCTCATATAAAAAAGGCATTTTCACCATAAATTGGAGCAGAAAATGTCTGCAGAATGCAAGAAATTACCAGTTTAATGCTCAAAATCTTCTGGGGGAGGACCCCCAGAAGGAGAACCTCCCTCACATATATTTCCACATCGAATATTTAATCTAAATAGTGCTATAAATCTTCCTGTCTTGTTCTCGTGCATCATCACATCTCATGACCCAAATGTTTCATCATGCCCCTAATCTGAGCACAAAGTGATGCCCTTGAGTGGAACAAAAGTTACTGGAAACGTTTTGTTGCATTTATTGCTGCACAGGGGATTCACACCAGATCCTAAAAGCAAAGGTTCACATACTTTTGCCACTCACAGATATTGCAATATGTTCCTGTCTGTCTGAGAGTCCATATATTAAAGGTTCTGACTAATATTGTATGTACAGTATGCTTAAATCTTTTTATTTTAAACAAAATACTATTAAAGTTCAAAAGCAACAAAAACTACCATGGCATATGGCCTCCTTAATTTATTATTGTGTCCCTCAAAGTATAGACCACATACTCAAAACCTGTTGTTGAAATAAGGAAAGTTTCCTCTTTTGCAAATGCTGACAACCCAGTGTTATCCTGATCATCAATGCAGGCACTTGCCAAGGCCCAGCCGGTCTTATTGCTGGCAGCTTTTCTGCACAGTTAGCTTCACACTTGTACAATATCAGCCAAATCATTTTAAATATGGCCTCACAGACCTGACTTGAGGGTGAGAGTGAATGATGAAGATGATAACTAGGTTGCAAATAAGACATAAATATAAAAAAAATCAGTATCAGTAACCTGGATTTAAAACAGTTACCAAAGACACAATACAGACAGTCATTTAAATACTGCCATCTGCTGCTAGAAAGGGGAAACAGCTTAACCCATCGGTGGAAACTACATTAAATATGAATTTAATATTAAAACTATAGCTCTAACAGTAACATATGTGCACACACAATAGGTTCTTAGGTTAACCTATATTACCAACTGTATAGCACCAAACAATGGGATCATTTAACGTGACTGTTGATGTGTACACGGATATGCACGATATTAAATCACCACTGTAATAAACTACTGTTGCCAACATATTTCTCTCAGTCCAGGTTTATATATTTATTGATTGATTTTTTTTCTTCTAACGTTACTCTGGTATAACATTTGTGCTGCATAATGTTATGGCCGTTATATAGGCTATATTTACTATTACTTCTGGGTCACCAACCTGTCTTTCTCATAGACTGTATATTTATTTATTATTTATAAATCCAAAAATGTAAAAAAGGCTCTTTTTTTCCAGTTTCTTTTTTTTTTGGACAAACGACATACGAAAAAAAAAAACGTACACGGACCCTTATTGAAGGGAGTCAGATCTTATTGCTCTGCTCCTTTCTGAGAGCTCCCATAAGGCACTTCATTCAGTATCACTTCCGGTGGTGACTGACCAAATTACATTCTTATTTGTTGCAAGATTCTTCATCTGCAACACGTTCAAATATGGATATTGATGGTTAAAAAGCATGATATGTCAATAACTATCCTAGTTGTATAACAAAAATGACACTCTATAACAAAATAATTAATAAATAATCACAATCACACAGATACATACAGTATATGCTTACACTCTACTTTTCCAAGACATGCTGTTCATATGATTTTAGCTATTATAGCAGGAGAGTTGTGAGTATTGCTGTTTGGAGCTGTTGTGCTGACTCTGGGACACGTCCTTTCTGCACGTTAGCTTATCAGCAGCCACTGTAACAATAGTATACTAACCCACATCTTAGCCAATGTTAAGTACACTGTGTTGTTGTTCGCTTTATATCAGATATTTGTCATGGTGTTGGATTTCTCCAGAATCACTTACTCCACTTTTAAATGTTTTTTTTTGTGTGACAACCTCAAAACTGACTTTGCCTCTTAAATTTCAGAGAGAGGTCTAGTGGAAACCTCCAGGACTATCCTTGCATGAAATGTATCTTCAACAATTTGCTTCGACATGTGAAGATAACATACTGACAGACAATGCTAAGTTGGGTATATTTAAATGGTAGCTCATTCATCTGTATTAAAATGAGAGGATACTTGTCACACCCACACAGAAGCAAAAAGAAAAGTGACCCTAGACCTTGCAATGTTTTAATCCAGAGAGACACAAGGCTTCCGTTAAAAGACCCTTGGCCTGAGGGCAGCCATATTTATTAGATAACAAAGCCTACATGGATCGTCACTCAGTTTGCCAACAGGCATGTAATTTCTCTCCAAGATCAGGGACATACTGTATTCTGCTTTGTTGAAGGTTAAAGAGCGTGAGTGGGTGTTGAGATCAGTGACCAAGTCATTCTGACTTTCTTATTTAAAGGTGCATTAGTTGACTTTTTCACCACTTGACAGCATAACAAGCTGAAAACACAACAAGTATGTGTGCTGTAGAGCTGAGGGGGACTGCAGAGTTGGTTTGTCACTAGGAATGACCTCTTTCACACTTGGTAGTTGTTTAAAAAATTTGGAATACATCTTTACACACACTCCCTTCCCCCTTTTAATAGTCTAGTATTTCTAATAGACTACTGACAGAGAAAGATCAAAGTCCAACTCATGCACATATATCCCTAAATTGGGATTAAAGTAGGAAATCTGATTGTAATTGTACATATTGTAGTGTATGGTAAACACGTACAGTATATACATCGTAAATCGGGATGTTGTAAGGTAATTATATATGGTTACATTTCAGTTATTGCCGGTGTCTTTTGGGAACAGTTACCAAGGTTGTGAAAACCAGTGAAATTCTGCAATTCGTCATGTAATTAAGAATTTCTTTATAACACCAAAAATCAAAATTAAAAATCCAACCTATACAGCCTTATATCAACACACACAACAGACAGACAGGCCCAAATAACAACCTAAATAAGTAACAAGACATTGAATGATATAAAAAAGTAATTGCTAGATCCTACTCTTTACAGCTTAATGTCATTGTTATATGGAAAATGTAACTTCCTCTCACGGTAATTACAAAAAACAAATATATTAAATTAATGTATAAAAAATATCTGTTAAATACAAACATCTCACAAACTTCTTCTCGGCTTCAATAAACCTCTCCAACCTTTCCAAATGGTTTAAACATCCTTATTTCTGTTTGCAATAAAATTACATCTATTTATCTCTGTAACATCACCCAATACCACGGAGGGAAAGTCTGACTGAAAGCACTGTCCTTAAATTGGCCACTGGTTCCTGGTTAAGTAACAAGGACATATGGCTGT